AATCATAAGAGTGATTGTGGATTCCCTCCGTTTCAGTACAATTTTCTTATCATGTAATCACTCTGTTTTTTAGTCTCGTTTCTAGGCATGTGCTTGCATATTCTGTAGACGCCTGTGCATACAGCTGACAAATATTATGAATACACTGCCAAATCTGCTTTTCTGGCGAGGCAGTGGCGCAGTAGGTAGTGCTGTCGCCTCACAGCAAGAAGGTCACTGGGTTGCTGGTTCGAATCTCAGCTCAGTTGGCGCTTCTGTGTGAAGTTTGCATGTTCTCCCTGCCTTCACGTGGGTTTCCTCTGGGTGCTCCGGTTTCCCCCACAGTCCAAAGACATGTGGTACAAGTGAATTGGGTAGGCTAAATTGTCTGTAGTGTGTGAGTGTATGTGTGAATGTGTGGATGCTTCCCAGAGATGGGTTGCGGCTGGAAGGGTATCCGCTGCGTAAAAACTTGCCGGTTCATTCCGCTGTGGCGACCCTGGATTAATAAAGTTACTAAGCCAACAATGAAATGAAATGAAATCTGCTTTTCTGAATGTGATTTGGTTTTGTTTCTAGTTTAAATATCGAAGTATTCCTAAATCAGGAAGCGTTTTCTAAACATGCAGAACTTCACGAGTTCACTCTCACAGATATTTGGCTGAATTGAATATGCGTATTTGGCGTGCTGTCCGGGGGGAGAGGGCTCTGAGCTCGGGAAGACACCCTAAGGGTGCTTTCACACCTGTGAATCGATTCAGTTGTTCCGAAACAGAGATTACAATTGTTACATTGTTGCTCTTTGCTCTTGGAGCGGTTCGCTTTCACACTGCAAAGTTTCTAATCGGACCAAAAGAGCTAAAACAAGTCACGTGCGAGTAAACTCTCCTCACATTGGTCAGTGTCAGGGTTTATTTTGCAGCGTCCCGCTCAGCTGTCAGGAGAAGTGGTGGTTTGGTGGTGATTGACTGGGTGTGCGCGATGTGTCTGAGGAGAGATGCGGTGGGGAGGGGTGAGAAGGGTGCGCGACGATGCCTATTTGAGGACCTGTAGGGAGACGCGAGATTACCGGGAGATCATCACTCGTTTGCGGGCATCCGGAGACTCGCGAAACTTCCCGCCCTACTCATAATTCTCTCTTCATATAGCCGTATAAGCCTATTACATATCCATAAAACACAGTGATACAACCGCGCTCGGATCGGATCGCTTTCTCACTACAATCGAACCGCTCCAGGGTTCGTTTCAATCGAGCCGAGACCACCTCATTCAAGCGATCTCGGAGCGATTACTTTGGCGCGGAACAGAGCGCGATTGCCCTGTTCACATATGCCAAACGAACAGCGCTAACTGGGCAAACGAGACACGTTCCGAAACAAAAGTTTAGGTGTGAAAGCACCCTAACTCGTGTTATTCCCCTTATCAGGATAAAGAGAGATAGGGTCCAAGCACAGTGTCTAGCCTGGCTCCAGAACGCTCTCCCCCCTCAGATTTAAATAGGTATCGGGTTTAATAGTGTGGAGTTGGGGTGGTGGAGGGACGCTGAAGTCGAGAGAAAGCTGAGGTATGATGTGTTTGACTATTTATAGGGGTTTGCTCATGAGCTGATTGGATAATAGAATGATTGTGTGTGTGATGAACTAGCCTCATCAAAGACTGACCGTGCTCCTCCCGAAATTTGTTTATAAAACAGCACATATTGTCTTGGGCGAGGCAGTGGCAAAGTAGGTAGTGCTGTCGCCTCACAGCAAGAAGGTCGCTGGTTCGAACCTCGGCTCAGTTGGTGTTTCTGTGTGGAGTTTGCATGTTCTCCCTGTCTTCGCGTGGGTTTCCTCCGGGTGCTCTGGTTTCCCCCACTGTCCAAAGACATGCGGTACAGGTGAATTGGGTAGGCTAAATTGTCCGTAGTGTATGAGTGTATGTGTGAATGTGAAGGGCATCCACTGCGTAAAAACTTGCTGGATAAGTTGGCGGTTCATTCAGCTGTGGTGACCCCGGATTAATAAAGGGACTAAGCTGACAAGAAATAAATGAACATATTGTCTTGTTTTAAGTTATAAAATGTAAAAATTAAGTGAGTTTTTCCTTAAAACAAGCACAATAATCTGCCAGTGGGGTGCAGGAAATAATCTCATGTCAAAGTGAAGTACAAGATGTTTTTGTTTATATATCTCATGCCAGATTATTTTGATTGTTTTAAGGAAAAACTCACTTAATTTTGACATTTTTTTTTTGCTTGTCTAGAAAATGCTTCTTGATTTAAGAATTTCTTTATATATTAGACACGAAACAAGGGTCACACTTTATTTTGATGGTCCGTTTGTTGAATATAAGTTGCATTGCATCTAAATGTCAACTAATTCTTATTAGATTATAAGTAGACTGTTGAGGTTGGGTTTAGGGTTAGTGTGAGTGGACACTTAGTGTAAGTAAGGTTTCTTTTAGTCAGTTAAATGTCTGTTGAAGGAGCAGTATTAACAGATATTAAGCTGACAGTCTAGTACAGGGGTGACCAATCCTGGTCCTGGAAGGCCGGTGAACCTGCAGGGTTTAGCTCTAACATGCCTCAACACACCCGCCTGAGTGTTTCAAGTATACCTAGTAAGACGTTGATTAGCTTGTTCAGGTGTGTTTGATTAGGGTTGGAGCTAAAATCTGTAGGACACACCGGAGCTCCAGGAACAAGTTTGATGACCCCTGGTCTAGTAATACACAAATAGACCATCAAAATAAAGAGTTACCGAAACAAGACTAAGTAAGAAATCGAAATCTATGTAAAAACCTTTTTTTTTTATTTATTTATTTTTTTGCAGTGTATGAACTTCAAACAAACATCAAAACTCTTGGTTAATAAATTTGCCGGCCACTTTATTAGCTACGCCTGTCCAAGTGCTTGTTAATGCAGACAATCACATGGCAGCAACTCAATGCATTCAGGCATGTAGACATGGTCAAGACGATCTGCTGCAGTTCAAACCGAGCATCAGAATGGGGTAGAAAGGTGATTTAAGTGACTTTGAATGTGGCATGGTTGTCGGTGCCCGACAGGCTGGTGTGATTATTTCAGAAACTGCTGATTTATGGGGAAATTTCACGCGCAAACATCTCTAGTGTTTTCAGAGAATTATCCAAAAAGAGAAAATATCCAGTAAGCGGCAGTTCTGTGGATCAAATGCCTTGGTCAGACTGGTTTGAGCTGATAGAAAGGCAACAGTAAGTCAAATAAGCACTCGTTACAACCGAGGTCTGCAGAAGAGCATCTCTAAACACACAACAGGTCCAACCTTGAGGTGGATAGGCTGCAGCAGCTGAGGACCACACCGGGTGCCGCTCCTGTCAGCTAAGATTAGGAAACTGAGACTACAAAAGATTGGAAAAATGTTGCCTGGTCTGATGAGTGTCGAATTCTGCTGCAACACTTGGATGGTCGGGTCAGAATTTGGCGTCAACAACATGAAAGCATGGATCCATCCTGCCTTGTATTAACGGTTCAGGCTAGTGGTGGTGGTGTAATGGTGTGGGGGATATTTCTTGTCAGCAGCTGTGTGATGCTATCATGTCAATCTGGATTAAAATCTTGATTGTTGAATCTATGACGAGAAAGATTAAAGCAAAAGGGGTCCAACCCTGTACTTGTAAGGTGTACCTAATAAAGTGGCCGGTGAGTGTATGTATATATTCATAAAGTTGTTCCATTTTGCTACAAAGCTGGTTTTTACTCTTTTGACTTTGCAAATAATTTTAATAATAAGCTAATCATCTGATTGTGTTATGGCCATACACAATAAATGCGCTATATAAATACACCTTACATTACATTACATAACATGCCAACTGTGATACTGAAAACTGCAATAAATAAATAAATAAATAAATGCCACCACAGAAATAAATAATTTTAAAATATGCAAAAATCTAAATCAATTACATGGAGTTGTAATAACCTTCCACAATATATTGCTTGTTTTTTGATCAAATACATGCAGATTTGGTGAGAACACATTTAGAAACATTGAAAAACTTAAACTGTAAGATCTGCATTAAATCAGTGCTTTTTATTACCTGAAACTGAGGCAACCTATAGCAATCAAATCACTGCACTGATGGAGACAGTTCACCCAAGAATATAAATTCTGCCATCATTTACTCACTTTTCACTTCTGCCAAAGCTTTATAAGTTTCTTTCTCCTGTTAAACATAACATTTGATATTTTAAAGAATGTAACAAACGGGTAACCATTGACTTCCATAGCTTTTTTTCCATACTATGGAAGTCAATGGCTACAGATTTCCAACATTCTTCAAAATATCTTCTTCTGTGTCGAAAGAAACTGTAACCACCTGAGTGAGTAAATAATGAAGATTGATTTTTTTGAGTGAACGATCCCTTTAAGAGGAAATGTCTATTCGTTTATCAATGCTGCTTCATTAAAATCCACCAGAGGGTGCTGTTATAGAGAAACTATTCATTATACACACTGTTCCCTGTGATAAGCTGCTGTCTCACGGCTTATATAGCGAAGATTTTTCTTCAGAATGTTCTCCAGTTGAAGAGTTTAGATGCAAAAACCTCAAACCTTAAAATTTGTATCTAAAATGAGCATTTCTCTCAGGCTGCTGTGTGTAGTTTCAGTCATTTTCGTCTAAAAGGCAACGAAAATAAGCTATTCCTTGCACTAAAAGTGAACACAAACAAAGGAGGCTGAGAAAAACACAAATGTTTCAGTAATATTTCAGACGGCACTTGGAGGTTTTTGCATCTGAACTCTTCAATTGTTTGTCTGCTGGTTAAGGTTAAGGTTAGGGCACTAGGTTTGTTCAAATCCCTAACTCTTAAGTAACTTGACACAATCATCATTTATTTATTATGGACATGAATTAAAAAATTGTGCAAGATCTTATGGAGAGCGTCTGTCGGCGGTTTCTCGTTAGGCAAGCACCACTCAGATTTTCAGATGTTGTATGATTGTGTAACCGCTGCATTATATTGCTCATGTGATTGTGGTCTGCTTGTTTTGAAGCTTTTGGAGCTGTGCAGATCAGTGAAGGATGATGCACTGAAGGTGGTGGATGACTTCAACATACCGTCCTGCTGCATTCAGGCTCCGATCGCTGGAATCGCCAATCCTAGAGCCGAATGGGCCTTTTATCCAAAGCCAGAATATCCCAGCAGCACCCAGCCACTGTCCAAACTCTGAGCGACGCAATGACATTTAAAGGGATAGTTCACACACAAATGTACATTTTCTCACTCTTTAGTCTTCCTCAAGTGGTTCCAAACATTTAACAAGTTTCTTTCTTCTGATGAACACCAAAGAAGGTATTTTGAAGAAAGACGAAAACCGGTAACCATTGACTTTCATTGTAGCTAAAACAATGAAAGTCAGTGGTTACCGGTTTTAGGCCTACTTTAGAATATCTTCATTTGTGTTTAAAAAGTCAAAACAAGTTTGGGTAACACTTTAAGTCACAATGCATGGTGTTATCAAATCATTAACCACCGCTATTAGCTTAATAAACTATTAATTAGCTGCTTATTAATAGTTAGCAAGGTAGAAGTTGGGTTTGGGTAGGATTAGGGATGTAGATGATACTTTATAACTACTAATAAACAGTTAATATCTTAATAATAAACAGGTAATAAGTCAGTAGTTAATAGCATGAATTGTGACTTAAACTAAAATGTTCCCCAAGTTTAGAATAATGAGTAGATGACCATTTCAATTTTTGCGTGAACTAACCCTTTAATGAGAATATGGAGATAATGGAGTGATTTCAGGAGCCTGGAGTGGTAAAGGATTCCTTTGAGCACAAAATGTATGAATGCATTGGTTTAACCCCATATTGAAATCTGATATATGACAGTAAACGGAAATAACATTTATGACAAGTTCATGTTTGGATTTCACATACTGTATATCGAATATATGTCATATATGAAACATATATTGCAAAATTGGCCATTTACATATGTTGTTTTGGTAACACCAAGAGTGGGTAGAGTAACCCAAATCTCAACCCTGGCTCATTATTAAGACATACCTCTGTATATATTTCTGGAAAGCATGAAATACATCCCAGGAGGTTCATTTTTTGCAGTTTTTGTTTTCACAAATCCACCAGAGGTCGCTGTGTACGCTTTTTTTCAGATCTCAAATTTCTCTTGCAAGTGCCATTCGCACCTTTAGTTCTCACGTAAATCCACCAGAGGCCGATGTCGACTGACTGACTGACTGACTGACCAATCACCCGACACACCGCCTTCCCTAAACCCAACCAATAGTGTTTTCAAAAATAATCCAAAAAAGAAAAGTCCCTGTGGCTGTCTGATTTTTACCGCGTTTTCAGATCTTACCACATTCTCACCCTGTTATTCGCCTTTTGTTTTTGATTTACTTGCTTTCTGGAACTGTTCTTTGCCGGACTCGAACCCTGTTGTTGCGGTCAACTCCTCTCCACATCTTAAGCCTGATGACATGGCGAGCTACTGGGCAAACTAGTAACAGCGGGAAAGCTGTCCATGCAGAGGTAATCATTCAGTTGGTAGCGAGAAAAAAAACAGAAGCTGTTGGTGGCATCATACCGCCCTGTAGCATTCGTATTAAAGACGAAATGCAGCCAAATGTAGCTTTGGCTATACCATTTGTGCTCTCCAGATATGTATACAGGGGTACGTATTCATCATGAGCCTGTGTTGCAGAATCTACTATAAGTGAAAGTGCAGTATTTTGGTAGAGTATCCGAAATAAAAACTATAAGTAAAAGTACAAAAACTTGAAAACATTTACTCAAGTAACAATCTTAACATAGTACAAAAGTATTGGATGAAAAAAACACTCAAGTAATTTATCTATCTATCTATCTATCTATCTATCTATCTATCTATCTATCTATCTATCTATCTATCTATCTATCTATCTATCTATCTATCTATCTATCTATCTATCTATCTGTCTATCTATCCATCCATCCATCCATCCATCCATCCATCTATCTATCTATCTGTCTACCTACGTCTTCTGTCTATCCATCCATCCATCCATCCATCCATCCATCCATCCATCCATCCATCCATCCATCTATCTATCTATCTATCTATCTATCTATCTATCTATCTATCTATCTATCTATCTATCTATCTACGTCTGTCTGTCTATCCATCCATCCATCCATCCATCTATCTATCTATCTATCTATCTATCTATCTATCTATCTACGTCTATCTGTCTATCCATCCATCCGTCCGTCCGTCCGTCCATCCATCCATCCATCCATCCATCCATCTCTGTCTGTCTGTCCGTCCATCCATCCATCCATCCATCCATCCATCCATCCATCCATCCATCCATCCATCTATCCATCTATCTATCTACGTCTGTCTGTCTATCCATCCATCCATCCATCCATCCATCCATCCATCCATCCATCCATCCATCCATCCATCCATCCATCCATCTATCTATCTATCTATCTATCTATCTATCTATCTATCTATCTATCTATCTATCTTGTTACTACCTGCGTCTGGGTAACACTTTTATATAGGGACCAATTCTTACTTTGCTTATTTACATGTCTATTATTAGGATATTATCTTTTTATTAGCACTTAAAAACTATGATCTTATCACTAATCCTTTTCCAAATACCTACAATAATAACTATTAATAAGCAGATTATGAGTTTATTGAGGAAGAAGCCATAGTTAATGGTTTGGTAATAGTGAGAATTGTACCTTAAATTTAAGTGACCCTTTCTTAGCCATTGTAATAACACATATGTGCATATATGGTCAAATATATTGGCTGTAATTGTATATGTATGCTCATATATGGCTGTAAATCAGATTTCTGTATGGGTTTTACCTGAACTTTAGAACTAAGCATCAATAATGGTAGAATTCGCTGCTAATGATTAATGTTTTGGGGAAATGACACAGAAATGAGACTCTCTTAAACACATAAAGGTTCTAAAAGGGCGTTTCCATTTTATTCCGCGAAGAAGAACTCAGTGAACAGTTCTTAAAGGGACAGATCACCCAATGGTGACATTTCTTTCATTGTTTACTAACCATTCACTTGTTCAAAATGTTTACGAGTTTCTTTCTTCTGTTGAAACACTAAAGAAGATATTTTGAAGAATGTTGTGAAAACCAGTAACCACTGACTTCCATAGGTTTGGACGTCAATGGCTACCGGTTTCTAACATTCTTCAAAATATCTTCTTTTGTGTTTAACAGAAGACAGATATTTAGAAAAATGCTGGTTGATGGCACCTATTGACGTCCATCATGTTGTTTTCTACTTTGGAAGTCAGTGGCTACTATCAACCAGCATTCTTCAAAATATCTTCTTTTGAGTTCAAGAGAAGAAAGAAACTAACATGAGGGAAAGTAAATGATGAGAATTTTGGGGTGAACTATCCCTTTAAGAAGTGTCTTTTTCTTAGTGTGAAGAACATTTAACAATCTAAATAACTTTTTCTAATAAAATTTTGTTTTTTGTGGAATAAAAACATTCCACAGATGTTAAAGGCTCTGCACAGATGCCAATTAGGAACCTTTATTTGGTTTTAGATTGCTCATAATATATGTGTATGACTAATTTTTAAATAATTAGAGCTGCCTTTTTTATATTTCAAACTGATACTCTTATTTTATAAAATGCTGCAGTGATTTTAGCTTAATTTTAAAATGAGCAGGTCTAAGGGTGTCACGATCCTCCAAATCCTCGATTTGATTACATTTTCTATTCTAAAGTCACGATTTGATTCGATTTTCGAATTATGAATAATTAATTAATTAATAACGAATTAATTATTAGTAGCCTACCGTTTAAACTACCTGACCTACATGGTCTTTGTTTTACCCATAAATAAATCATACAGTAAATGAATAAAGGCAAGATACACACATAATTACAACCTGTCAATCACTTTTTTCTGCGGGACTCGTGAATAGGCAGTGATCTGTGTCGTTATAATGGCGTCGGTAAAAAAAGTGCACAACCAACAGGAACCAGCCAACAGTATCTGAGGTGTTCGCTAAAATGACTGAGTACTTGTGTAAAAGTAAAAGATGGAAGCAGTCTACTGACCCGCTGACTGCCTTGACCCGCTGTCTCGAGCGCATGACAATGTGTGTGCGTCTGTATCTGTGTGTGAATGAGTGTGTGTGGTCACGTGATGTGCGTTTTCAGCGGTAGTGAGGAAGGAGGGCTGCTCAGAAATGCTACACGCCAGTGTGGATGTGGATCGTTGTCGTTTTAAAATGCCATTTAAAAACAAAGACAGTGTAAACAGGGCCTGAGTGTGTATTTTTCGCGAGGGGATTTGCAACGGGTGCGGGGCGGAGGATCGGGATGCGCCCACCGTCTATCATCCCAACCGTAATACGTACATAGCAGAGCTTACAAACTGTGTTTTTTTGTTGACAACACGAACGTTGTCAACATAACTCACTGGAAATCCAAAATACTTCCACACCGGCGACTGAAAGAGGAGAGGATTTAAGCTCTGTCGACGGGTCTCCTGCGTCTGCAGTTTAACAAGCACTTCAACAAGCATGTTTTTTTCCCGCTTGGCAAGCCAAGCTAACGTGACATGGGGGCGTGGCAGCATCGACGATTCTATTTTTTGATTCGATAATCGAAGTTAAGCATAAATTTCGATCGATTTCGATTAAAAATTGAAATCGTGACACCCCTAAGCATGTCAAGATTTACACCAGCCAGACTTCATTCGAAACTATCCTAACACACTAAACGCCATTCATTCATTTTTCTTTGGCTTAGTCCCTCATTTATCAGGGATCGCCACAGTGGAATGAACCGCCAACTATTCCGGCATATGTTTTACGCAGCGGATGCCCTTTCAGTCGCACCCCAGTACTGGGAAACACCCATACATTCTCACATTCACACACTGCGGCCAATTTAGTTCATCCAATTCACCTATTAGCGCATGTCTTTGGACTGTGGGGGAAACTGGAGCACCCAGAGGAAACTCACGCCTACACGAGGAGAACATGCAAACTCCACACAGAAATGCCAACTGACCCAGCCGGGACTCAAATCAGCGACTTTCTTGCTGTGTTAACCACTGAGCCACCGTGCCTCCACACTAAACATTTGACACTTATAGAAGAGCTCTGCTTGGTGTATTTGAACTACAACATCCTACTAAATGAGCTGTTCAGGTTGGCAGTGCCAACAGGTAGTTTTTTTAATTCTGTATATTGTTT